AGTTAGTTGTTCAAAAAAACCAATAAGAACACTGAACGGTTTAAAATTAGGAAAGGTGTGTGCCAGGGTTGTGTTCTTTCACCATACTTATTCAATCTGTATGCTGAGCAAATAATTCAAGAGGCTGGATTACATGAAAAAAAACATGGCATCAGGATTGGAAGAAGACTCATCAACAACCTAAGATATGCAGATCATGCAACTTTGCTTGCTGAAAGTGAAGAGGACTTAGAATATTTACTGATACTTACTGGTATGAGTTCCACCTCAATGTAAAGAAAACAAAAATCCTCACCACTGGACCAAAAAATAACATCAAAATAAATGGAGAAGAGATGAAAATTATCAAAATCTTCATTTTGCTCAGATCAACCATCAACACTCATGAAAACAGCAGTCAAGAAATCAATGTATTGCATTAGGCAAATCTGCTGCACAAGACCTCTTTAAAGTGTTTAAGAGCAAAGATGTTTGAAGAATAAGGTGCACCTGATTCAAGCCATGGTATTTCAGTAACCTCATATGCATGTGAAAGTTGGACAATGAATAACAAAACCATATAAAAATTGATGCATTTGAGTTATGGTGTTGGAGGAGAAAATCAAAAGTACCATGGACTGCCAAAAGAGCAAGCCAATCTGTGTTGGAAGAAGTACAGCCTGAGTGCTCCTTAGAAGCCAGGATGGCCAGACTTCATCTCTCCTACTTTCAGGAGAGACACTATGTTTGGTAAAGTGTAGGATCAGCAAAAAAGAAGACCCCCAACAAGATGGGTTGGCACTGTGGTAACAGCAAAGGACTCAAGCGTAGCAATGAGTGTGAGGTTGGCACAGGATGGGGCTGGGTTTCCTTCTGTTGTCGTCAGTACTAAGGCAACAGCACCTAACAATAACAATAGCAAATGCAGATAAGGGATATAGAAGTGTGATAAGAAGATTGGTCAGTTTTGTTAGCCTCATAGGCTTAAAATAAACCATTCCAGAGACACCAAGAAAGAAAAGCTGGGAGCAGAGCCCTTCCTTTCAACCTGGAGTCCTTACGCTGAGAACCTCCTAAGCCAAGAGACAGCTATAACATCAAAGATGGTACAAGGTGGCAGGACGCAGCAACAGAACCAGGAAGCAGGCTGGAGAAAGCTTAGTGACTTTAGGTGGAGTTGGGTCCTGCTGGGTATTTGTTAGTGGAGCTTGTCTGGCTGACCCATTTGTTGTTGTTAAGTGCTGTCAAGTCGATTCTGACCACTGGTGGAGCTAATGAGCAGGGCAGAAGTGGCTGAGGGCCAGGGATAGGCCCGCCTGTGGGCATAGCTGAGACCCTGTCCTGATCCTGAATGATAATGTTATCTCCCTAATAAACCCCATAATTATGTCTATGAGTTCCATGTGATCACTGCAATGAATTATTGAACCATATACAGAGTGTCATGGGTGGGACGGCTGGTGTCAGAATTAGCAAAAAGGTTGTTGTTGTTGTTGTTGTCAGGTGCCATTGAGTCGGAGCCGACTCACAGCGACCCCGTGTACAGCAGAACGAAACAATGTCCAATCCTGGGCCAACCTCACTACCGCTGCCACACTTGACACCATCAATGATGCCACCTGGCTGATCCATCTCGTTGGGGGTCTTCCTCTTTCTCTCTGACCCTCCATCTTACCCAGCATGACGTCCTTCTCCGGCGACTGTTCCCTCCTGACAATATGTCCAGAGTATGAGAGATGAAGTTTAGCCATCCTGGCCTCCAAGGAGCACTCTGGCTGCACCTCTTCAGACAGGAAATGTGTCAGACCTCCGCCTCATAGGAATCACCTTTGGGCTGGTGCTGATGGTGATTTTCTCTTCCTCTCGTGAAATTAGAAGAGATCAGATGCTCCTACCGTGGCATTTTTACTTTTTACACCTCAGGTGCCCTCAGCGCATGTCTACCTTCCTGGTCACCAGGGGGTGCTGCTGTGAGCACAGCCCTGTGAGCCCTTCATTTCTCCAATCTGGCTCATCCTACCTGGAAGCCCGGGCTGTGAGTGGCTGCAGATACCTCTTTATCTACTGGGCACCTCCTCATGGAATGTGGCCTGGCCAGCTAGCTGTTCATGGGGCCTCCTAGGGCAGTGAGTGGGTCTGGGGGTCAGGATATGGACACAGACATCAGGGAGGACTGGGTCCTTCACCCTCTAACATCCCCACTTCCTCCAAAGCCTGAGGACTTACACAGGGAAAGTTGGGGAGAGTGAAAGCCATGGGCAGGCTGTGGCTGGAGGCCCCACTGTCCATTCTGGCCATTCTAGGTGGGCCCTGGGCTGGACCTGACTTCCCTTACTTCTCCGAATTCCTGGTGAAGGGTGGGCTCACTTGCCCGAGGAGAGATGGGAGATGCAAAATGCTCGGCCACACATTACACACACACACACACACAACCGGCTCTCTCAGTGCAAGAAGAAGCACTCCCATGCAGAATGACCTCGGGGCTAGTAGAACCCAACTCAGGACCCAAAAGACGCCCCCAAACTTCCCACAAACGCCCCAGCGCCCCCTGTTGAACAGGCCCAGCCGTGTACATATCAACCTGACACACCAGTTCTATCAAGAGTGGCATTTTATTCTCCTCGTGGAGGTGCGGCGCTCCGGGGAGCTGATGCTATTGTGCTTAGGAAGGAGGTCTGTCCGTCCGTCCGTCTGTCCGGCCGGCCCGGCCCCAAACGGGGGCGGAAGAGGGGCGCGGCCCGAGTAAAAATCCCGGCCTGTTCCGGGTGGGAATATATACAAGGAGGCGGGGCGCAGGCGGGGGGGGGGCGGGGCGGGCCGGCGGCCGCAACCCCCACCCGAGGGCCCCCGCACCTCGGGCCCTACTCATAGAATCAGTACAAAATAGGTACTACCTAACGATCCTTCTACCTGAATTCGCTAAGTCGGTTATTGTGCTGCTTAGTTATGGGGGCGGGAGGGGGCCCATGGCTTTCCACGGCGGCGGGGTGAGGGGGAAGGGGGAGACCCTGGCCAGCCCACGGCCCTCCGGCCTTCTCCTTAGGTAGGTAGGCAGGCTTAGGGTGGGAGGACCCGGCCTAGACAGGCAGGCCCCGGCCTGAAGCTGTGGGGTGTTCCGGATGTGGGTTCCTCTCCACTGGACCCGAGTCCTCCCCTGCGGGGGCATGCCCATGGGGGTGGGCTTACCAGCCCTAAACTTCAGTGCCCCTCTCTCGCCCCAAGCCTGGCCCGTGCAGAGCCGCGGTAGCTGGGGGATCAGAGGATAAGTCACCGGTATGGTCTGCCGCGGTGGTACTGGCAGCTGGGACCCTGGATCGGTCCCGCAGGAGTAGGAACGCAAGGCCCAAGTCAAAGGTGGAGCCCGGTTGCGCCCACACGGACTCGGCCTAGGGGCAGAGAGTGGGTGCTGCCATGGTCTGGGGACACCGACCCAGCATGTACGGTTATTCCTGGATCACCCACCCCGTCGGGCCGAGGTCGCTGCGGTCCCGTCCCAGACTAGCCCCCAGAAGGCCACTGAATCCCTCACGGACACAGCAGCAGACCTGGCACATAATGGGCGCCCCGCCCCCCGCCCTATAACCACTACACCGCCGGGCTCTGCCTTGGGAGGAAAAGGAGGCGGGGAAGTAAGTCTGCGCGTCCGGCCCCGCGCAGCGTCCCTGATCTAGGGGCCTATGGGGCGGGTCGGGTGGGGGATACCTGATTCTCAGTAACTCTAGAGGCGGCGGCAGCTTCGCATGCAGTGCGCATTATTGCTCTATAGTCGGTATCGGACTAACTAAGGGGGAGGGGAGCGGGCAGCCCCAGGAAGGGACGGGAGGAGGGGTGGGGCTGCATGCAGTGACATCACAAGGCGGCGGCCAATGGGGCGGGCCCTTAGGGGCGGGGTCGCCGCCGAGGCTTTGGCATAGACGGGCGAAAGTTGGCAACCAAGTGGGGGCGGGGCCTGGAGCTCGGGGGAAGGGCCGGCCTTCGAGAGGCGGGGCCCGAGGCTTCCAGGAGGCGGAGCCCAGGTGGGGGTGGGGCTTGGGGGCGGGGAAAAATGATCCTGGACATCCCAAACCCCTGGCGTCGGCGGGAAGGTTGAGGGGCTCAGCGCCCCCTCCCTGCCCCGAGTGCAATCCGTTCATAAATAAAACGTACAAATACAGAAAAAGAAACCCGACGCGTCTGCAACCCCGCCCTCGGGGGCTTTACCCGCAAAGCGAATATAGAGAGGTGTATAGAGGGCAGTGCCCAGGCCTGCCTGCGGGCCCCAGGGATCCGTCCTCCAACACCGAATGCCCGGGTTATGAGGGAGCGGGGTCTGAGGAGGTCGGATAAGTCCATGCGATTCGATATGCGTCATTATTATTAGTTACGGAGGACACAGCCTAGGAAGCTGGGCTGGAAGAATTCGGATTTGGCAGAGATGCGAGGCGAGGGTAGGAGGGCGGCTCGGATGCGGCCCCAGAAGGGAGCCGAGGGAGGGGGTGCCGCCGTCCGTCCCTCTCCCCTCCCCGGGGTTGGGCGAAGACTGCGAGGGCAAGGACGCCTCTGCAGGCCCGCTCCCCTGCCTCCTCCTCCCCCTGCGGGCCGGCTTCCTGGGCGGCTGGGCCCAGGCCCGACCCTAGAAGGCTTGGGGAGGTAAGGGAAGTCCTGAGTCTCTGCGACGCGATGCCAGGGTGCAGAGGGAGGAGGAGGAGGGCGTCCCTCCCTCACCTCGCCCCGTCTTCAGAGACCTAACTCGGAGATGAGGTTCGGTACTGGGTCTCTTCGACCCTATTGCTGGGAGAAAGCCTGGGACACCCTGGAGGAGAGGGGAGGGGCTCGAGGTGGGTCTCCCCTCGGGAACCTATTGCTTGAAGGGGCCGATTAGGCCCCTGGCGGGCGGGGCGGGGCGGGGCGGGACCGGGCCCCTCCCCCTATTGCTGTGAGGAGGGGCCCGCCCTCCGGCCCCTCCACCCGGGCGCAAGCGGAGACTGCCCTGGAGGCCTGTATTGCTGAGAGCCGACCCGGCTGGCGAAGGCTCCGCCGCCCTAGGCCTGCACCGGGCTGAGCTGCGGCGGCGCGGCGGGCGCGGGGGCCGTGGGGCCAGCGGCGCCGGCGCCGCCCTTAAAGCAGGCCGACTCGTAGTGCTTGTTGAGATACGACTTGAGCGCGAAGCTCTTCTTACAGCGTTTGCACTGGAAGTGCTTGAAGGCCGAATGCGTCTGCATGTGCGCGCGCAGGTTGGAGCGGTCGGCGAAGGCCTTGCCGCAGTGCGCGCATCCAAAGGGCTTCTCGCCTGTGTGCGAACGCATGTGGCCCTGCAGTAGCCAAGGCCGCGAGAAGGCCTTGCCGCACACGCCGCACTTGTGGCGCAGGTCGTGCGTGAGCAGGTGCATGGCCATGGCCGGCATGGACACGTACACCTTGCCGCACGTCGGGCAGCGCCGCGCCAACTGGCTGTCCAGGCTGCGGTGCGTCTGCTTGTGGCGACTCAGGTTCGACGACGTGGCGTATGTCTTCCCGCCGCGGTGGTACTGGCAGCTGGGACCCTGGATCGGTCCCGCAGGAGTAGGAACGCAAGGCCCAAGTCAAAGGTGGAGCCCGGTTGCGCCCACACGGACTCGGCCTAGGGGCAGAGAGTGGGTGCTGCCATGGTCTGGGGACACCGACCCAGCATGTACGGTTATTCCTGGATCACCCACCCCGTCGGGCCGAGGTCGCTGCGGGTGCGCCCGGCGGCGGCGGCGTTGGCGTTGGCTGCCTTACGGCGCGAGCGGCCGTCGGTGATGAAGAAGGCGTCTGCCGCGTAGCCCTCGCTGACGGCCGCGTCGCCGTTGATGTAACCGCCCGCAGCCGTGGCCAGCTCTGGGCGCGGGGTGGGCGGCGGTGCGGAGCCCACGGCCGCCGGGCCCAGCTCTCCCCGCACAGCCGCGGCGTACATGGGCTCTGGGGACGGCCCTTTGAGCAACGCCGCCTCGGCGTCGCCATCGTAGACGGACGCTGGCCCCGCGTAGTCGCTGAGGTATCCTGCGGGGTCAGGAGGACAGACAGACAGCGGGAGGGGGACGGGACCGAGGGAGAGACACACACGGTACAGACGGCGGGAAACAGAGCAGACACAGGCCGGAGACACGGGGACCGGGAGGCGAACACCGAGAAGGACAAAGGAGAACGGGTCGAGGGAGCCCGGGGCAGGGAGGATGGAGAGGCGGGGGTGGGGGGAGAGAGGAAACGAGAGATGAGAGTGGGGCCGTTCTCGGCCCCGCCTCTACCCGCCCCGCCCTCTCGGGGGAGGGGGGAGAAAGGCGCATCTTCGGGCACTGCTGCCCCCCTTCCTCGGAACCTCAAGGTCAGGGGGGAGGGGCGGCGCTTCCTTCGCCCTCCTCCCCTGTCTGCCCTCCCCTCCCCCTTGGGTTCTCCCCACTTCAGCAGTTTTCCCTGATTATGCAACACACTGCAGACCCACAGCCGCACAAAGCCAGGCTCAGGGTACCTGGACACGACCGCCAGAGAGCCCATACGTTCAGGACCCGTTCCCCCCTCCTCAGCCCGTGTCGGGCCTTGATGCTGCTGCCCTCAGTCCGCTTGGACCCCCAACAAGCCTTAGAGACTCCTGCCTACCCCCACCCTCTCTAGCAAGCCCCGCCTCAGATGTCCCAAGTCCCCTCTGCTCACTCGGCTTGACCCTTCTGGCTGCAGTGCTATCTTCCTCCATCGAGTCTGCTTCTCCCCCACTCTACTCCAGGAACCCCACCCTCGGGTCCTACCTACCCTGTTCCACCTTGCCCTCTTACTGAGGACCCTAAGCCTTTGCAGGGGCCTTCCCAAGCTCCAACACACGGGCTCAGGAGAGGGCCAGAGCCACCAGAGGACACTTCCCTGGGACAAACCGCAGCCGGACAGCACCATTCATGACAGTAATTGCAGTGGTGTCCAAGGCACAAGATGGATTTCACAACCTCAAAGTCACTAATGCACACCCCTCATGCTGCAGACTCTGGCTCGTTCAGGTTCCCAGCCAGCCACCCAGCCACTGTCAGACCCAGAGACTCTTCACTGGGTCAGCACATGCCAGCACACTCCACAGGGTCACACATGCTGCCACCCCAGCCACACTCAGCCATGGTCCACAGTCACATGGTAGCACTCAGCCGGCCTGAGTCACATGGTCCCATGTAGTGGCACACAGGCAGGAACACACTCACACAGGGTCACACACAGCAAACACAGTCACATGGTCACACGCAGTCACATGGGCACACACAGGCTTAGACACAGGCTCACGCTCTTGCAGGTCACACTTGTTCTTCCACCCCACGCTGCTGGCACTCCCAGCCCCCTCGCCTGCATGCTAACAGTTGTCCTTGAACTTGGGCACCCTTACACAAAGAGCCTCCCCTGCCTCTAGCACTTTGGGATCCCCTGCCCTTCTCTCTGACCCTGACTTCAGGGAAGATACTGCTGCTGCCTTTGCTGGCATTGTCGCCTTGACAGGTGGGCGGCCCCCGCCGGACCCCAAGCCTACTCCCTGGAGCTCCCAACACCCCCCCAGCTGGCCCTAGCAGGGGTCCGGAAGGTGCAGCCAAAGAAGAGAACCAGGTTCTTGGGTTGGAGCCTACTGTGCTGACACACTAGGTCCTGTCCTGTTAGCAGGTGTCCATGAGGCTGTTTGTCCAGGCAAGGGACAGGGTGTGGGCATCTCCAGGACTCCTGCTCCCTACCCGCTCTCCTGTGTAAGGGACACACTCTCCCCGCCCCACTTTGGTCCCGGTTCTGGGGTGCCTTTGAGTGCCCCTTTCCCATCCCCCATCTCCATCCAAGGTCCTGGCTCCAGCCATCACCTCCTGCCTGCTGTGGTTCCCTTGGGTCTATTTGCAGGCCCCCTGCCCTTCAGCCCCCACCCATTGCCCTCCACTCCTTCCAGCAATGCCCTGGCCCATCACCCCTAGTCCCAGCCCCAGCGGAGAGTCCGCACAGCTCGCACCTTTCTCATGCAGTCGCACGCCGAGGTCGCTGCGGGTGCGCCCATAGGAGCTCTCCAGGTCCGCTGAGGAGAACGTGTCAAGTTTGACCTTCTTGACCAGGAAGGACCTGGGCATGGTTCCTGCGGGGCTCCGGCACTGAGGGCCTTTGGAGCCGGGGCGCGGGGGGACTGCGGCCGCGGCGGGGCCTCGTCACCATCCGAGGAGTAGCGGAGGCAGCACGGTCCGCACTCTAGCCTTCCGAGTGCCTCCTCTCTCTCCTTGCCCTGCGTCTCTTCCTTGGCTTCGGCTCCCTCTTCTCCTCCCTTCCCTCTCTTGTCTCTTCTCTGCTGTTCTCTTCCTTCTTTCCTTCCTCCCTTCCTCCTTCCTTCCTTCCTTCCTTTCCTCCTCTGGTCCCGGCTTCCCAGCCCGCAGTGCCGCCCCTGGACAGGCGGGGGAGGAGGCTGGGGGGCGGGGAAGGGGGAGCGGCTCCGTCCCGGGCCCGGAGGCTGCGAGTGGGTGCAGGGCTGGCCCGGC